GAACTAAAGGCTTTGTGTTAAACTGAGAATATTCAGTAACTGACACCTGATTAGCAACTTTTTCTGGCTGCTTACAAGATGAAGGAGCAGCTTTACAATCGCCCCCACCATCCAGAGATTTACAGATGTTCACACAGACACTAGGGGAGGATGATTTTTCACTGAATTGACAAATACTTAAATCAGTCTTTTTATCATCTAATCTAGCGGGAAAATGAGCGAGCTGCTTCTGGCAGTCCACAGAAAATTGATTCAATTCACTTTCTGCATTCTTCAATTTTTCTACTAACTGATCAATTTCCTCCTGTAATCTTTTGTTATCTCTTGTTAGCTGTTGGTGACTAGCATCAGAATTGGTTACAGAAATTTTTAAACTACTCAGGTCGCTTTTGGATACTTCAAGAGCTTCCTGTAGTGATTCGTTTTGCAACTTCAGATGCTCATATTCCTTAGCCATCCAACAGGCAGCAAAGATCAGTGGAGTCTTTCCCACACGCTTACTATAACTTTTCCCGCTAGGTTTTGATTTTGTATCTTCTTCTAACTCCAGTCTGGCCTTTCCCTGACTAACTTCTCTGTTTTCCTCATTCTGTTCCTGTTCCTCACAGTCTTTTGGCCTTACCTTGTGGCTCTCCCTTTTCATCAACTGCTGATAACAGTCCATATCAGTGCTTGAGAATTCCACTGGCAAGGACTGGGTAACTGCATAAGGCCCCAGTCCTGAAGATTGCTCATTGTCCCCCTGTTCATGATTGCCACAATTCTGGGGTTTAGACTTTTGTGACTGTTCCTTTATACATTTACTTTCAAGTGTTTGGAATGCGTTCTCATGGAATGATTCCATATTAAAAACATTCCCTGCTTCCCTACTCATTGACTCTAACAGCCATATACTCCAAGCATCTCTCTTTTTGGGCGTGTCATCTTTTTACGATGATCATACCAGAGGTCTTAGGCTTAAAAGTACCTCTTTTAGAATACTTCATTCCAGTCCAGCGCTCCCAATCATGTATATATTCTACCACCCAGGGTCCATATTTACCGATCATCTCTTCCCTTGGGGTCAGTTGGCAGGGTTTGCCACACTTAGACGCCCTCCTTGAGTTGATGCTGTTACCCATCCTTACGGATACTGGACCCTGGAATAATTCCCAACCTTAAGCGGTTGCCCCAACCTTAAGCGGTTGCCCCCAGAGGTAGCTAATCTCTGGCCAATGATTGGGTTGACAGGTTCTGCCCCTGTCACCGTTGCTGCTTTTCACTACTTGTAATATAGTCCTTCAAGCAGCCTAGGGATCACCCGAACTGTATAGTTCAATTCCCAACGTGGAAGTTTCTGAAGTATTCTGACAGATTTTTTCCTAAATTGCTCCTATTATCCCAAGAAGGATTAGAGCAAACTTAAATAATCAAGATTTGAGTGCTTGGAGTGCATCAGGCAGTTAATTGAGGCACAGCTACTTGCAGTATGGTGTGTAGTAGTTTACAATAGAGCTGGTTCTCACAGATCTAACTACACGCTTACAATCTACAGTTACTAAATTACAAAGAGGACAGATTTCATACTCACACCCCGCTGCAATAGGTGCAACCCAGCAGTTATGATGTTTCCTTATACACTCTCAGTACAATTTTAATTCAATTATACTGTTCATAATCAGTCTCATCAAAATATTAGTAAAGACAAAAGGTAAAAATGACATTCGACAAAGCTTACTAGTCTAGGTATTTTAGACAGAAATGGAAGATAGACATGAAAACAAAGAAAGATGTAAATAATTATCTATTCCACACAAGAAGTAACATTTACCTAAACATTCAGACTTCCTCACTAAAGGGGCACCATTTGTTTTGGCGGTTTTTCCTACCCACACTTATTTACTTGGTTCTATACAGATTATAAATGTAATAAGTGATTATAACCTTTTGTCTATACCTGAATTTAGCCAATAGTGTTAATATTAAAAGATAACCACTGTGCAAAAAATAAAGATCTAATTTATTTACACAGCAAGGAAGCTTTCTATTAATCAATTACAACAAAAATATAATACAGAATGTTATCAATACAAAGACTACAAGAGATAGTTACAAGAAAAAGACAGAGAAATGGTGATACATTACAGCAATCCTGATATTCTGAGGTCTGTGCTCTGGAAGGCACATGGCACGAAAAGGGGCAGGGCTCTTTTGTTTTTGTTGTTTTATACACTTTCCAAAAGACCATCCCTAAACCCACCCACCCAAGTAAATCACACCTCAAATGGGTGGGCTTCAGAGCAATGGTTAGTTTAAATAAATGAAAGAACAGGATTCAAGTTGCCTTCCATCCCCCTCAGCTCCATTGAGTCTTTTGTAGTGTAATCCCCCAACAGTCAATAACCTTCATGAAGATGTAGGCCCAAAATTGCCATTACAACACAATACTACGACAACCACATAGTGGTTAGCTATAACAATCTCCTCAAAGATTGGCAGGTCAGATGTACAATACAATAATCAAAAGGTACAATGAGCATATGAATCAGTATCAGGTCCAAAAGTCCTCCTAGACAGCCTCCCATTTGAGGAGTTACAAGAGTAGGATTCAGAGGATCAAATTGAATGTCAATGGGGGATCTAGAGAAGAGACAGAAAAGAAGAGCTACAGGAAGAACAAGAGACAGGAATGAAGAGAAGAGGGTAGAGCATCCAAAGGACGGATCTAACCAGCTGTTTTTAGTGATTGACATTGCCAAATTAATTTCTAAGGAAAGGCAAGACTTCAGGAGAATAAGCAAAATCAATCCATGAAAATGACAAGTCTCAACATTTTGTGAGATTTGTATTAGCAATAACCAGCAGCTTAACCATTTGCATAAGGGGCCCTTTCACACTGTGGAAAGAAAAGCTCATGAAAAAATGCTTCCCTATGTATGTCTATGTATGCTTTCACACTGGGGCATTTCGCTTCTGTTGCAGTGTAAAAAATCCTGCTTGCAGCATTTGTGGAGCATGTTTGTTCAGTTAAAAGAAACCACACCTAACAGCAGTTCCCGATTGCAATCAATGGAAAAAAGAACGTCAACAACGCCTCAAAATCGCACTTGAGATGCATTTTTGGTGCAGTTTTTGAGTGACATTTCCGCAAGCATGGCAAAAGCACAGTAAAATGCGGCAAAAATGCATATGCGTTTTTGCGGCATTTTTGCAGTGGATCAGTGTGAAAGTGCCCTACTGGAATTCGCTGGATTGTTTTTATTGTAAAATGTAGAATATCAAATCAAAATAATTTAAACTTTTTTTGTTCAAATACATTACATGCTGTGAACAATACATTTATCAGTTGAACTGGAAGAGGATGGCAGGCTACTTGCTCTTCATTGGCAAGCAGGTAGGTTTTACATAATACTTTCTCCTGGGGTTCATCAACAACCTCCCACAGAATCCTCCCTAATGCTGAAGGGCAGGTGGCCTAGTATCAGCTGTACATTCTGCCTTTTTGAAAACTCTTGTTGTAGTATATCAGGGTCTCCAAATTTTCTAAACAAAGAGCTAGTTTACTATCCTTCAGACATCAGGGGGTAACTGTCAGGAATGGACTAGCCAGCAATGGTGGGACTCACCTGCCTTTTGATCTGCAGTACCAGGGCTGGCCAGCGGGTGCTCCCAGCAATCAGAGACTCAACTTTGCAGCCAGCTAACACCTGGAACTGATTATGCTGGGGTATTTAAGGGATGGCCAGACTTGCAGACTCTGCTTTGGTGTTGTGTTCTCTTGGGCCCTGTATCCTGTTCCTGCTCTCTGTTCCCGTCTGATTCTCTGCTGACCCTGCTCTGATCCCTGGCTTGTCTGACCATTCCTCTGCCTGACCCTCTGTACTACGCTGCTTGCTACCTGTTCTGATCCCTGGCTTGTGACCCTGACCATCCCTCTGCCTTACCCTCTGTACTACACTGCTTGCTACCTGCTGAACCTGGCCTGTGACCCCGACCAATCTCCGCTTGCTCCCCCTGTACCTACCTGCCCTATTGATATTGACCCGGCCTGCCTGACGACGCTTGCTTGTATGTACTGTTATCTGTGGGTGGTTGGTTTGGTTTGGTTTGGTTGCACTGTATTATGTTTTAGTATTGCACTGCGTTTATGTTTGTATTGTTAGTGTTAATAAATTATATTGTTTATAACATATCTGAGGTCTGCGTTTCCCTGCGTCAGCCACACACCTCTGGTCACACCTGGGAGCCCTGACATTACACCAAGGCCAATCCTGACCAGAAGTGGCTGCACAGGGAAGCCATCTTGGCTTGTTGCTGGGAAGGATGGATCTGGATGAGGTTGTGTATTTATATCTGCTAGTGTTTGATGACAGGGAGTATGCTTATCAAACTCCTGTATTCCCACCAGCTCCTCCAGTTACAGCCCAGTATACTTGGCTATCTACCGCATGTCAGTACCCTGTTCCCACTCGCTGCACCTATCCTGCCTTTAACCCTGTAAAAAAGCCCTCTGTAGCAACTGCTCCCTCTCCTGTTCCATCCTCCAGTTCTTCTCTGTCTCCAGCTGCTCCATTCGTTTGCAGACCTGCGTTTACTTGCAGTGCTCCAGTAGTTAAAACCAGAAAAAAAGCGAAAATTCTTTCCAACCAATAACATCCTGCCAGTATCCAAACCGGTGAACCTGCCTTCCGTGACTCAGCCTGAAGCCTCTACTCAGCCTGAAGCCTATACTCAGCCTGAAGCCTGTACTCAGCCTGAAGCCTGTACTCAGCCTGATGCCTCTCCTCAGCCGGATGCCTCTCTTCAGCCGGATGCCTCTCTTCAGCCGGATGCCTCTCTTCAGCCGGATGCCTCTCTTCAGCCGGATGCCTCTCTTCAGCCGGATGCCTCTCTTCAGCCGATGCCTCTCTTCAGCCTGATGCCTCTCCTCAGCCTGAAGCCTCTACTCAGCCTGATGCCTGCATTCAGCCTGATGCCGCTACTCAGCATGATGAACTGATCCAGCCCGACGATCCTATTAGGCCAGTTGACTCGATGCCCGCTGTTGATCCAGATGATTCGGTACCTGATCCAGTGCCCGCTGTCGTGCCAATTGACTCAGAGCCCGCTGTCATACCTGGTGACCCGGTGCCCACTGCCTTGCCAGATGACGCGGTGCCCGCTGGCAAGCCAAATGACCTGATGCCTGGTGACCCAGTGCCCGCTGTCATACCTGGTGACCCGATGCCCGCTGTCGAGCCAGACAATCCGATACCTGATGACCCGGTGCCCACTGTCGTGCCTGTTGACTCGATGCCCGCTGTTCCGCCAGTCGACTCGGTGCCCGCAGTCTTGCCAGACGACTCGGTGCCCGCAGTCTTGCCAGACGACTCGGTGCCCCCGCAGTCTTGCCAGACGACTCGGTGCCCGCAGTCTTGCCAGACGACTCGATGCCCGCTGTTTCGCCAGTTGACTCGATGCCCGCTGTTCCGCCAGTTGACTCGTTGCCCGCAGTCTTGCCAGACGACTCTGTGCCCGCAGTCTTGCCAGACGACTCTGTGCCCGCAGTCTTGCCAGACGACTCTGTGCCCGCAGTCTTGCCAGACGACTCGGTGCCCGCAGTCTTGCCAGACGACTCGGTGCCCGCAGTCTTGCCAGACGACTCGATGCCCGCTGTTCCGCCAGTTGACTTGACTCGATGCCCGCTGTTCCGCCAGTTGACTCGGTGCCCGCAGTCTTGCCAGACGACTCTGTGCCCGCAGTCTTGCCAGACGACTCTGTGCCCGCAGTCTTGCCAGACGACTCTGTGCCCGCAGTCTTGCCAGACGACTCTGTGCCCGCAGTCTTGCCAGACGACTCTGTGCCCGCAGTCTTGCCAGACGACTCTGTGCCCGCAGTCTTGCCAGACGACTCGGTGCCCGCAGTCTTGCCAGACGACTCTGTGCCCGCTGTTCCGCCAGTTGACTCGATGCCCGCAGTCTTGCCAGACGACTCGGTGCCCGCAGTCTTGCCAGACGACTCGATGCCCGCTGTTCCGCCAGTTGACTCGATGCCCGCTGTTCCGCCAGTTGACTCGGTGCCCGCAGTCTTGCCAGACGACTCTGTGCCCGCAGTCTTGCCAGACGACTCTGTGCCCGCAGTCTTGCCAGACGACTCTGTGCCCGCAGTCTTGCCAGACGACTCTGTGCCCGCAGTCTTGCCAGACGACTCGGTGCCCGCAGTCTTGCCAGACGACTCTGTGCCCGCTGTTCCGCCAGTTGACTCGATGCCCGCAGTCTTGCCAGACGACTCGGTGCCCACTGTTCCGCCAGTTGACTCGATGCCCGCTGTTCCGCCAGTTGACTCGGTGCCCGCAGTCTTGCCAGACGACTCTGTGCCCGCAGTCTTGCCAGATGACTCTGTGCCCGCAGTCTTGCCAGACGACTCGGTGCCCGCAGTCTTGCCAGACGACTCTGTGCCCGCAGTCTTGCCAGACGACTCTGTGCCCGCAGTCTTGCCAGACGACTCTGTGCCCGCAGTCTTGCCAGACGACTCTGTGCCCGCTGTTCCGCCAGTTGACTCGATGCCCGCTGTTCCGCCAGTTGACTCGGTGCCCGCAGTCTTGCCAGACGACTCGGTGCCCACTGTCGTGCCTGGTAACTCGGTGCCCGCCGCTTCGCCTGGGGGCCCGAGACCTGTTGCTCCGCCTGAGGGCCCGAGACCTGTCGCTCCATCTGGGGGTCCGGCGCCCGCCGCTCCGCCTGAGGGCCCGAGACCTGTCGCTCCATCTGGGGGTCCGGCGCCCGCCGCTCCGCCTGAGGGCCCGAGACCTGTCGCTCCATCTGGGGGTCCGGCACCCGCCGCTCAGCCTGAGGGCCCGAGACCTGTCGCTCCATCTGGGGGTCCGGCGCCCGCCGCTCCGCCTGGGGGCCCGAGACCTGTCGCTCCGCCTGGGGGCCCGAGACCTGTCGCTCCACCTGGGGGTCCGGCGCGCCCGCCGCGCTCCGCCTGAGGGCCCGAGACCTGTCGCTCCATCTGGGGGTCCGGCCGCCGCGCCGCCGCTCCGCCTGGGGGCCCGAGACCTGTCGCTCCGCCTGGGGGCCCGAGACCTGTCGCTCCGCCTGGGGGCCCGAGACCTGTCGCTCCACCTGGGGGTCCGGCGCCCGCCGCTCCGCCTGAGGGCCCGAGACCTGTCGCTCCACCTGGGGGTCCGGCGCCCGCCGCTCCGCCTGAGGGCCCGAGACCTGTCGCTCCACCTGGGGGTCCGGCGCCCGCCGCTCCGCCTGAGGGCCCGAGACCTGTCGCTCCGCCTGAGGGCCCGAGACCTGTCGCCCCGCCTGGGGGCCCGAGGCCTGTCGCCCCGCCTGGGGGCCCGATGCCTGTCGCCCCGCCTGGGGGCCCGATGCCCTGTCGCCCCTCCTGGGGGCCCGGTGCCTGTCGCCCCTCCTGGGGGCCCGGTGCCTGTCGCCCCTCCTGGGGGCCCGGTGCCTGTCGCCCCGCCTGGGGGCCCGGTGCCTGTCGCCCCGCCCGGGGGGCCCGGTGCCTGTCGCCCCGCCCGGGGGCCCGGTGCCTGCCGCCCTGCCCGATGTGCCTCTGCCCGGAGTCCTGCCTGATGTGCCTCTGCCCGGTGTGCCGCTGCCCGGAGTCCTGCCCGGTGTGCCAGTCTTTGATATCCCGCCAGTTACCAGACCCGGGCGGTGGAACATTTTGCCCAGCTAGGACTGTTTGGAGCGTCCTGAGGCCGCTCCTTGAGGGGGGGGTACTGTCAGGAATGGACTAGCCAGCAATGGTGGGACTCACCTGCCTTTTGATCTGCAGTACCAGGGCTGGCCAGCGGGTGCTCCCAGCAATCAGAGACTCAACTTTGCAGCCAGCTAACACCTGGAACTGATTATGCTGGGGTATTTAAGGGATGGCCAGACTTGCAGACTCTGCTTTGGTGTTGTGTTCTCTTGGGCCCTGTATCCTGTTCCTGCTCTCTGTTCCTGTCTGATTCTCTGCTGACCCTGCTCTGATCCCTGGCTTGTCTGACCATTCCTCTGCCTGACCCTCTGTACTACGCTGCTTGCTACCTGTTCTGATCCCTGGCTTGTGACCCTGGCCATCCCTCTGCCTTACCCTCTGTACTACACTGCTTGCTACCTGCTGAACCTGGACTGTGACCCCGACCAATCTCCGCTTGCTCCCCCTGTACCTACCTGCCCTATTGATATTGACCCGGCCTGCCTGACGACGCTTGCTTGTATGTACTGTTATCTGTGGGTGGTTGGTTTGGTTTGGTTGCACTGTATTATGTTTTAGTATTGCACTGCGTTTATGTTTGTATTGTTAGTGTTAATAAATTATATTGTTTATAACATATCTGAGGTCTGCGTTTCCCTGCGTCAGCCACACACCTCTGGTCACACCTGGGAGCCCTGACAGTAACGAATTGTGGCCAGTGGGAGTAGAAAAGTTGCCAGCATCAGTGGAAGAAAACAATGTCTCAAGGTTGGTGGTAAGTGGGAATAAAACAACTGGGTTGTGGCCAGTCAGGGGAGGAATCATGCCCCATCATTGATATTAGCTGGAGGAATTATGCCCTATTACTGGTATTAGTTGGAGAAATAGTGCCCCATTGTTGGTATTGGAGGAATAATGTCCCATCATTGGTATTATTTGGAGGAATAGTGCCCTGTAATTGGTATAAGTAGAAGAAATAGTGCTCGTCATTGTATTCCTTGGAGGACCAGTGCCCCGTCATTGGTATAAGTTGGAGGACCAGTGCCCCGTCATTGGTATTAGTTGGAGGAATAGTGCCCCGTCATTTGTATAAGTTGGAGGAATACCGCCCCATCATTGGTATTAGTTGGAGGAATAGTGTCCCATCATTGGTATTATTTGGAGGAATAGTGCCCTGTAATTGGTATAAGTAGAAGAAATAGTGCTCGTCATTGTATTCCTTGGAGGACCAGTGCCCCGTCATTGGTATAAGTTGGAGAACCAGTGCCCCGTCATTGGTATTAGTTGGAGGAATAGTGCCTAAATTATTGGTATCAATGGAAGGGAAAGTGCCCCATAATAGTGTCAGTGGCAGAAATTATGCCCCGTGTTTGATGTCCAGTGGGAGGAACAATGCCTCACAGCAGCGGAAAGAATAGTGCCCGAAGGGCTAAATAAAGGCAAGCATAGGACCACATCCCATGGGCCACAGTTTAAAGACCACTGTTGAATATTATGACATCGGGAAGATATTCACGCAGATGTGTACAGTTAACCTTAGATCCACTTGAATTTACAGCTAAAGCAGACTTGTTATTTTATTGCTGTCAGGGAAGGCCTGCCCGTAGTACAGGTGAAGCTCCACGGCACACAAATATGCACATGCGCAGGAATCTGGCAAGCTGAGCAGATGTGCGGGCGCCTAGACAGAGGCGCGCGCAGTTGCGCTCATGCATGCGCACTCGCACACGCGGTCACGCGCCTCATTAATGCTTGTGCCAGGAGGGCTATTTAAACTGGCTGCTGTGGTTTTCTCATTGTCGTATGGTCTTTTCCCCCTGCTTGTGTTTCCTCACTTCCGTTTTTGATTCCTGTTGCCAAAACCAGCCTGTTCCTGACTTCTGCTTGATTGCCTCCTGCCCCGACTTCTGGCCTGTCCTCGGATTATTCTTCTGCCTGCTCCTGTCTGATTGACCTCCTGTTACTGAACCCGGCCTGTGACCCAACTATTCTCCTGCCTACCGTTCAAGCCTGATCTGTCTCGTCTAATATCGAACCCGGCTCGTCTGACTCTGCTTCTTCAGCATACGGTGCTCCAGCATCCATCCATCCTGCATGGATACATCTGCACCTGCTCTGGCCTGCTACTCATCAGTCCAACAGATGTCGCCAGACAGATCTCAGGTCCTCATACCCCACCGAGCTCCAGCGACCGCTGTTCCACTCTCAGCAGTCCTTGAGCCGTTGTTGTACAAGAGGTCTGCCTCTTCACGTCAGGCTCAATACCCAGGTACGTGACAATTGTAATACTTTTTATCTTCTGATTCTAGTGTTATATCAGGAAGTGTGGGGGTTAACATAAAAAATGGTCAGGGCTTCTATGTGGGCTTGGATCAGCCATGGAAACCAGCTGGATAGCAAGAGTGGGTGGGTTCAAAAAGAAGCAGCCAAAAGAAGAATGCTGAAAAGAAGAAAGAATTGTAATTCAATATAGATGAAGAAAATAAAGACTAGAGATTACATCATAAGTGATACCATTGATGTGAATGTACAATAAGAAAGGCGCTGAGACAATTTGGATCTTAACGCATCGTATTAAAGTCCTCTTAATCTTCATGAAAACAAATCTTGAAATGTGACACTTTTTTCATTAAATGTTAATGATCTCCTAGAATTTCATCTCAGATGTTGATTGTTCGCATTGTGAAGTGTCTCATGTACAATGTACCTGTATATTATGGTTGAGGAATGAATTGTATTGTGTGCACGTCAAACCATTCAAATGAAATTCCAGTTTTAAAACTGTGCAAATCAGCACTTGGGATATTTGAAAACTTATATTTGTCCCCAAAAGAAAGTATTATCCCAGCTGCTGAAATCCCAAAAAGGTCTCAAAATAATAGTCATTCTCAGTGCTAGAATATCCACATGTGCACAATTCCTTAACCTCTTCATGTCCAGCCTATTGTAATATGATGGCTGGGTGAGAGCCCTATTATCTTGGGAGGCCCAATATTGAGACTCACGCACACCCCATGGGGTGTGCTTAGGCGTGACACAGCGATGACAGATCTCTGTACGGGGCCGCTGTCACTGATCACACAGTGGCCTGAATGGCTGAGGTGGAGATCATGACATTGTCCTCCTGCCTCTAGACCTCAGCTAACCAGGGGAAGTCTTGTAATCACTGATAAAAAAATACAAGACTTTCTGTAAATAGCTGAAAAAGCAGTAAGTCAAACTTGATTTTGTTCCAACAGCAGATGATAAGTTCCTGTACCTCTGCTGGAACACTGTGCTGTATACTGTATGTTGGTCCCAGCAAACTATTTAAAGTGAAAGGAAAATGGAGTTAGGCTTTGAGTAATATAGCTTCTTCTGATACCCCTAGACGTAATGAGTTTTTTTCCTTTTCTCCTCATTTTCTTTCCTTGTAACAATGGTCACATAAACAGATAAGGTGAATCTCTTTACAGTGGACCGACACAGCAATAAATGCCCACAGTGGCTCTAGCCTTTCCAGAAAATCCAACTCTGGGAATAGGCAAAATCTACCTTTGCAATGCCCCTGCCCAGCACTGCAAGGGATAACTACTCACTAAGTCTAGGGTTGCAGGAATAAGGAGGAACACTTACCTTACTCCCCATTTCTGCAGGCTCCCTCCATCTATGTGATTGGTCTATGATACCACTTCTGTAAGCCATAGTTGCAAGCTTTCTTCCTCACGTACAATGCAGGATCTATAGCCCTGCATTGTACGCGATGACGCAGATGAACCGCCCACAACCCAGAGCATGAAGCGAAAAGAAAACATCGATTAAAGTCTGCTGGAGAAAGAGATGGCAATGGCAACGCAGGTCCTGAATCTTGTGGCACAAAGTATAGGGCATAAGTATTGAAATAAAACCCAATGAGGCCTGGTCAGTAAGATTTTCCTCCAGCACAGGTCCAAATTTCATGTTTTTGCTATGACTCCTATCCTAGTATGTACATATATATTCACTTGCCCTCTGGAAAATGTACCCCCTTCCTGACCAGGCCATTTTTTGCTATTCAGCACTGCGCTATTTCAACTGGTAAACTGGTCAATGCGGTCTTGCAATACTGTACCTAAATGAAATGTATGTCCTTTTTTCACACAAATAGAGCTTTATTTTGGAGGTATTTGATCACCACTGGGGTTTTTATTTTTTGTGGCACAAATGAAAAAAGACCGAAAATTTGTAAAAATATTTTCTACTTTCAGTTACCAAAAATATCCAATAAACTCAAAGTTAGTCATTAAATGTAGGTCAAAATGTATTTTGCTACATGTCTACATGCTACATGTATATTAATTGGTATATATATATCCTATCTTCCTAGCCTTCACCCCCAGGCAATGTAAAGAGTCTCGGCTGGTAACACAAGCTTCTATATGTAATCCTGAGAGATAAACAGAATCTCTGAAGAGGTTTGCCAACAGAAACTTAAGTCTTCGCTTATCAGGTTAAAAAAAACGAACCACCTTGGTAAAAGACTTACATGTATGCGGTGCTTTCATACAGCACGCAATTCCTATGAGTTGTTCCGAGTTCTGCTGTTTCAGTCCTGGAAACAAGGTCCGAACTAGGGGTTTCTCCGCAGTCTCTGGTCATCCCCTGTACTGTGTCCCACAGTCTCTGGTCATCCCCTGTACTGTGTCCGCAGTCTCTGGTCATCCCCTGTACTGTGTCCGCAGTCTCTCTGGTCATCTCCTGTACTATGACACCGTCTCTGGTCAATCCCCTGTACTGTGTCCGCAGTCTCCTGGTCATCTACTGTATGTGTCCGCAGTCTCTGGTCATCTCCTGTACTTTGACCGCAGTCTCTGTCATCTCCTGTACTGTGTCCGCAGTCTCTGGTCATCTCCTGTACTGTGTCCGCAGTCTCTGGTCATCTCCTGTACTGCCTGCAGTCTCTGCACATCTCCTGGTCATGTCCGCAGTACTGGTCCCCGCAGTCCTCTGGTCATCTCCCTGTACTGCAGTCTCAGTCTCTGGTCATCTCTGTCACCCTGTACTGTGTCCGCAGTCTCTGGTCATCCCTGTACTGTGTCCGCAGTCTCTGGTCATCTCCTGTACTATGTCGCAGTCTCTGGTCATCTCCTGTACTATGATCCGCAGTCTCTGGTCATCCCCTGTACTGTATGTCCGCAGTCTCTGGTCATCCCTGTACTGTGTCCCGCAGTCTCTGGTCATCCCTGTACTGTGTCCGCAGTCTCTGGTCATCTCCTGTACTGTGTCCGCAGTCTCTGGTCATCTCCTGTACTGTGTCGCAGTCTCTGGTCATCTCCCTGTACTGTGTCCGCAGTCTCTGGTCATCTCCTGTACTGTGTCCGCAGTCTCTGGTCATCTCCTGTACTGTGTCCGCAGTCTCTGGTCATCTCCTGTACTGTGTCCGCAGTCTCTGGTCATCCCCTGTACTATGTCCGCAGTCTCTGGTCATCTCCTGTACTGTGTCCGCAGTCTCTGGTCATCTCCTGTACTGTGTCCGCAGTCTCTGGTCATCTCCTGTACTGTGTCCGCAGTCTCTGGTCATCTCCTGTACTGTGTCCGCAGTCTCTGGTCATCTCCCTGTACTGTGTCCGCAGTCTCTGGTCATCTCCTGTACTGTGTCCGCAGTCTCTGGTCATCCCTGTACTGTGTCCGCAGTCTCTGGTCATCTCCTGTACTGTGTCCGCAGTCTCTGGTCATCCCTGCACTGTGTCCGCAGTCTCTGGTCTGGTCCTCCTGTACTGTGTCCGCAGTCTCTGGTCATCTCCTGTACTGTGTCCGCAGTCTCTGGTCATCTCCTGTACTGTGTCTCCGCAGTCTCTGGTCATCTCCTGTACTGTGTCCGCAGTCTCTGGTCATCTCCTGTACTGTGTCCGCAGTCTCTGGTCATCCCTGTACTGTCCTGCGCAGTCTCTGGTCATCTCCTGTACTGTGTCCGCAGTCTCTGGTCATCTCCTGTACTGTGTCCGCAGTCTCTGGTCATCTCCTGTACTATGTCTGCAGTCTCTGGTCATCTCCTGTACTGTGTCCTGCAGTCTCTGGTCATCTCCTGTACATCCGTCTCTCTGTCATCTCCTGTACTGTGTCCGCAGTCTCTGGTCATCTCCTGTACTGTGTGTCCGCAGTCTCTGGTCATCTCCTGTACTGTGTCTGCAGTCTCTGGTCATCTCCTGTACTATGTCCGCAGTCTCTGGTCATCTCCTGTACTGTGTCCGCAGTCTCTGGTCATCTCCTGTACTGTGTCCGCAGTCTCTGGTCATCTCCTGTACTGTGTCCGCAGTCTCTGGTCATCCCTGTACTGTGTCCGCAGTCTCTGGTCATCTCCTGTACTGTGTGTCCGCAGTCTCTGGTCATCCCCTGTACTGTGTCCGCAGTCCTCTGGTCATCTCCTGTACTGTGTCCGCAGTCTCTGGTCATCTCCTGTACTGTGTCCGCAGTCTCTGGTCATCTCCTGTACTGTGTCCGCAGTCTCTGGTCATCCCCTGTACTGTGTCCGCAGTCTCTGGTCATCTCCTGTACTGTGTCCGCAGTCTCTGGTCATCTCCTGTACTATGTCCGCAGTCTCTGGTCATCTCCTGTACTGTGTCCGCAGTCTCTGGTCATCCCCTGTACTGTGTCCGCAGTCTCTGGTCATCTCCTGTACTGTGTCCGCAGTCTCTGGTCATCTCCTGTACTGTGTCCGCAGTCTCTGGTCATCTCCTGTACTGTGTCCGCAGTCTCTGGTCATCTCCTGTACTGTGTCCGCAGTCTCTGGTCATCTCCTGTACTGTTCCCTGCAGTCTCTGGTCATCTCCCTGTACTGTGTCCGCAGTCTCTGGTCATCTCCTGTACTGTGTCCGCAGTCTCTGGTCATCTCCTGTACTATGTCCGCAGTCTCTGGTCATCTCCTGTACTATGTCCGCAGTCTCTGGTCATCTCCTGTACTATGTCCGCAGTCTCTGGTCATCCCCTGTACTGTGTCCGCAGTCTCTGGTCATCCCCTGTACTGTGTCCGCAGTCTCTGGTCATCTCCTGTACATGTGTCCCGCAGTCTCTGGTCATCTCCTGTACTGTGTCCGCAGTCTCTGGTCATCTCCTGTACTGTGTCCGCAGTCTCTGGTCATCTCCTGTACTATGTCCGCAGTCTCTGGTCATCTCCTGTACTGTGCAGTCCGCAGTCTCTGGTCATCTCCTGTACTGTGTCCGCAGTCTCTGGTCATCTCCTGTACTGTGTCCGCAGTCTCTGGTCATCTCCTGTACTACTGTCCGCAGTCTCTGGTCATCTCCTGTACTGTGTCCGCAGTCTCTGGTCATCTCCTGTACTGTATGTCCGGCAGTCTCTGGTCATCTCCTGTACTATGTCCGCAGTCTCTGGTCATCTCCTGTACTGTGTCCGCAGTCTCTGGTCATCTCCTGTACTGTGTCCGCAGTCTCTGGTCATCTCCTGTACTGTGTCCGCAGTCTCTGGTCATCCCCTGTACTGTGTCTGCAGTCTCTCTGGTCATCTCCTGTACTGTGTCCGCAGTCTCTGGTCATCTCCTGTACTGTGTCCGCAGTCTCTGGTCATCTCCTGTACTGTGTCCGCAGTCTCTGGTCATCTCCCTGTACTATGTCCGCAGTCTGGTCATCTCCTGTACTGTGTCCGCAGTCTCTGGTCATCTCCTGTACTGTGTCCGCAGTCTCTGGTCATCTCCTGTACTGTGTCCGCAGTCTCTGGTCATCTCCTGTACTGTGTCCGCAGTCTCTGGTCATCTCCTGTACTGTGTCCGCAGTCTCTGGTCATCTCCTGTACTGTGTCCGCAGTCTCTGGTCATCCCCTGTACTGTGTCCGCAGTCTCTGGTCATCTCCTGTACTGTGTCCGCAGTCTCTGGTCATCTCCTGTACTATGTCCGCAGTCTCTGGTCATCTCCTTACTATGTCCGCAGTCTCTGGTCATCTCCTGTACTGTGTCCGCAGTCTCTGGTCATCTCCTGTACTGTGTCCGCAGTCTCTGGTCATCCCCTGTACTATGTCCGCAGTCTCTGGTCATCTCCTGTACTGTTGTCCGCAGTCTCTCTGGTCATCTCCTGTACTGTGTCTGCAGTCTCTGGTCATCTCCTGTACTGTGTCCGCAGTCTCTGGTCATCTCCTGTACTGTGTCCGAGCAGTCTCTGGTCATCTCCTGTACTGTGTCCAGCAGTCTCTGGTCAT